AGAAAAAAAAAAAAAAGAGAGAAAGAGAGAAAATATAAGGAGAATAGATGATGTAAAGTGGAGATATATACAGGAGGATACAGAGGAGTATACAGATATATACAGAAGGATATAGGGGGTATACAGACAGATATATATAGGGGGGTACACAGACAGATATATATAGGGGGGTACACAGACACATATATATAGGGGGGTATATAGATATATATAGGGGGGTATACAGACACATATATATAGGGGGTATACAGATATATATAAAAAAAAAATACAGACAGATATATATAGGGGGGTACACAGACAGATATATATAGGGGGTATACAGACAGATATATATGGTGGGTATACAGACACATATATATAGGGGGGGTATACAGACACATATATATAGGGGGGGGTATACAGATATATATAGGGGGGTATACAGACAGATATATATAGGGGGTATACAGATATATATAGGGGGGTATACAGACAGATATATATAGGGGGTATACAGATATATATAGGGGGGTATACAGACAGATATATATAGGGGGTATACAGACACATATATATAGGGGGTATACAGACACATATATATAGGGGGGTATACAGATATATATAGGGGGGTATACAGACACATATATATAGAATGGGGGTATACAGATATATATAGGGGGTATACAGACACATATATATATAGGGGGGTATACAGATATATATAGGGGGTATACAGACACATATATATATAGGGGGTATACAGACACATATATATAGGGGGTATACAGATATATATAGGGGGTATACAGACAGATATATATAGGGGGTATACAGACAGATATATATAGGGGGTATACAGACACATATATATAGGGGGGTATACAGACACATATATATAGGGGGGTATACAGACACATATATATATAGGGGGTATACAGACAGATATATATAGGGGGGTATACAGATATATATAGGGGGTATACAGACACATATATATAGGGGGGTATACAGACAGATATATATAGGGGGGTATACAGACACATATATATAGGGGGTATACAGACAGATATATATAGGGGGTATACAGATATATATAGGGGGGTATACAGACAGATATATATAGGGGGGTATACAGACAGATATATATAGGGGGGTATACAGATATATTTAGGGGGTATACAGACAGATATAGGGGGGTATACAGACACATATATATAGGGGGGGTATACAGACAGATATATATAGGGGGGTATACAGATATATATAGGGGGGTATACAGACAGATATATATAGGGGGGTATACAGATATATATAGGGGGTATACAGACACATATATATAGGGGGGTATACAGATATATAGAGGGGTGTAGAGGGGATATAGAGAGGAATATGAGTGATTGGAGCGGATGGGAGAGCGGAGCTCCCCGGGAGGAGCGGAGAGGGAAGTGTGGGGAGCGGAGGGTGGAGGTTGGGGGGATGGGGGCCGGGCAGGGGGAGGGGCAGTGTCTCTGTGATAGTCCTCCAGCAGTAGTCGGTGATCAGAGGCGGCGGACGGTGCCATGCAGGGCTGTGGTTGTGGCCCCCGGAGTTGAAGGACCCCCTCCCCCCCACTCCCCGGTGCCCATCCATGGCTCTGTGGACTCAGCTGCTCTTCTTACCTTGTGGGCTCCGCGGCCGCCGACCTGCTGCTCCTCGGCACGTTCCGCTCCGCGCAGCCCACCAACAACTTCGTGGCGGACTCGGCGGGGCGGCGGATCTACCTGGCGGCGGTGAACCGGCTGTACCAGCTGCGGAGCGGCGACCTGCGGGCGGAGGTGGAGGAGGAGACCGGCCCGGTGCTGGACTCCCCGCTGTGCCATGCTCCGCAGGTCCCGGACTCCTCCTGCGACTTCCCGCGGTCCCAGACCCCCAACTACAACAAGATCCTGGAGCTGGACGAGGATCAGGGGCTCCTCCTGGCCTGCGGATCCGTCTACCAGGGGCTGTGCGAGCTGAGGCGCCCGAGCAACATCTCCCTGCCCGCGGTACCGTTCCCCCCGAGCAACGTGGTGCCCAGCATGCTGAACGTTGCCGCCAACCATGCCAACGCCTCCACCGTGGGGCTCCTGCTGAAGGGCCCCGACACCGACACCAGGCTCCTAGTCGGGGCCACCTACACCGGCTACGGCAGCCAGTTCTTCCTGTGGAACCAGAGCGTGGCCGACCACCGCTTCGAGAACAGCCCGGAGATCTCCATCCGGGCCCTGAACACCGGCGCCCCCGGGAGGCTCTTCACCTTCGACATCAGCCCATCGGACGACAACATCTTCAAAGTGAAGCAGAACAACAAGGGTCGCAACCGGCTGGTCTTCGTCCGGGCTTTCCAGCAGGGCGGCTTCGGCTACCTCGCCATGAACCTAGAGCCCGCCCCCGGGGGAAGGAGAGCCGGCCCAGCAGCGTCATCGCGCGCCTCTGCCTGACGCCGGATCCGCGGGGGGAGCCCCGCAAGCTCACAGAGTCGTACATCCAGCTGGGCCTGCGCTGCGAGGGGCCCAAGGGGACCCTGTATGGGCGTTTGGTGTCTGTCTTCGCGGAGCCTGGAAGGATATTCGGGGTGTTCGAGGGGCGCGGGGGATGCGGCGCTGTGCGCCTATGGGCTCCGCGACGTGGGGAAGGAGATCCGCGAGGCGCGGAGCAGTTGCTTCGAAAAGAAGGACGATGGGGAGGCGCTGGTGCAGGTGCTGGATAGTGTGGTGCAGGGGAGCGGGCCCAGCTGTGAGAGGAAGAGCAAGAATGAGAGGAAGAGCATCAAGGTCAGTCCCTACCCTTCATATGTCAATTATTTTACTATATATATATATATATATACAGGGGTCAGGGTGATGGATAACTAGGATGGTTGCAGTGCATGCTGGTACCTTGTTTCTGAGGAGGCTGCAAGTCCCTCCCCTTCTACTTAAAGGGCATCTCCTGCTGTGTCTGAGGAGGCTGCAAGTCCCTCCCCTTCTACTTAAAGGGCATCTCCTGCTGTGTCTGAGGAGGCTGCAAGTCCCTCCCCTTCTACTTAAAGGGCATCTCCTGCTGTGTCTGAGGAGGCTGCAAGTCCCGCCCCCTCTACTTAAAGGGTGACTCTTGCTGTTTCTGAGGAGGCTACAAGTCCCACCCCCTCTACTTAAAAGGGCGACTCTTGCTGTGCCTGAGAAGCCTACAAGTCCCGCCACCTCTGCTTAAAGGGTATCTCTTGCTGTGTCTGAGGAGGCTGCAAGTCCCACCCCCCTCTACTTAAAGGCCGTCTCTTGCTGTTTCTGAGGAGGCTGCAAGTCCCGCCACCTCTACTTAAAGGCCGTCTCTTGCTGTTTCTGAGGAGGCTGCAAGTCCCACCCCCTCTACTTAAAGGCCGTCTCTTGCTGTTTCTGAGGAGGCTGCAAGTCCCGCCACCTCTACTTAAAGGGCATCTCTTGCTGTGTCTGAGGAAGCTGCAAGTCCCGCCACCTCTACTTAAAGGGCGTCTCTCTTGCTGTTTCTGAGGAGGCTGCAAGTCCCGCCACCTCTACTTAAAGGGAAACTCTTGCTGTTTCTGAGGAGGCTGCAAGTCCCGCCCCCTCTACTTAAAGGGTTTCTCCTTTGTTTGTTTTGGAAAACATAGAGAAGGGTTCAAACCTTTTATTGCTGTATATGGCGCAGCTTTATCCTGTGATCAGCGCCAAGACAATGTCCTTGATGGTGTCCCCTTGCCTGTTCCCTCTGCTAGGTTGCCCAGGCATTCAGTGTCACGTCTGAAAGTTAACCCCTTTTTGGCACAATGATTGCCCAATACATACCCAAGAATATACTTAATCCACCCAGCACTTCGTGCCAAATGTAGAAGGTGCTGCAGCACTGAGCACATAGGAGGTACAGTAATTATAAAACAGAGCATCTGAAAGTCAGCAAATATTCTCTGCAGGTGAATCTTGCTCATGCATGTGTTTTATATGACAGCGATTGATTCTCCATCGGAGAATGTTGGTGAAAATCACATTCACTGCTTTATAAATAGACCCCATAAACCAACCTTACTCAACATTCGTACCCCAGAGGAACCCTTAAAATCATTTTCAGGTCTTGGGGAACCTCGTCTAAAACCAATTCATCAGGTGTCAGTGGGAAAATGTTCATCGCCTTGGTAGTCAGTAGGAAGAATGCTCCTTACATTGGTGATCAGTGGGAAGAATGTCCCTTACATTGGTGGTCAGTGGGAAGAATGTCCGTTACATTGGGGGTCAGTAGGAAGAATGTCCCTTACATTGGTGGTCAGTGGGAAGAATGTCCGTTACATTGGGTTCAGTAGGAAGAATGTCCCTTACATTGGGGGTCAGTGGGAAGAATGTTCCTTACATTGGTGGTGAGTGGGAAGAATGTCCCTTACATTGGAGGTCAGTAGGAAGAACGTCCCTTACATTGATGGTCAGTGGAAAGAATGTCCCTTACATTTGGGGTCAGTGAGAGAATGCTCCCTACATTGGTTGCCAGTAGGAAGAATGCTCCCTACATTGGGGGTCAGTGGGAAGAATGTCCCTTACATTGGGGGTCAGTGGGAAGAATGTCCCTTACATTGGTGATCAGTGGGAAGAATGTCCCTTACATTGGGGGTCAGTAGGAAGAATGTCCCTTACATTGGGGGTCAGTGGGAAGAATGTTCCTTACATTGGGGGTCAGTGGGAAGAATGTCCCTTACATTGGTGGTCAGTGGAAAGAATGTCCCTTACATTGGTGGTCAGTAGGAAGAATTCCCCTTACATTGGTGGTCATTAGGAATAATGCCCCTTACATTGGTGGTCAGTGGGAAGAATGTCCCTTACATTGGGGATCAGTGGGAAGAATGTACCTTACATTGGGGATCAGTGGGAAGAATGTCCCTTACATTGGTGATCAGTGGGAAGAATGCCCCTTACATTGGGGGTCAGTGGGAAGAATGTCCCTTAGATTGGGGGTCTGTGGGAAGAATGCCCCTTACATTGGGGATCAGTGGGAAGAATGCTCCTTACATTGGTGGTCAGTGGGAAGAATGCTCCTTACATTGGGGGTCAGTGGGAAGAATGTCCCTTACATTGGGGGTCTGTGGGAAGAATGTCCCTTACATTGGGGGTCAGTGGGAAGAATGTCCCTTACATTGGTGATCAGTAGGAAGAATGCCCCTTACATTGGTGGTCAGTGGGAAGAATGCCCCTTACATTGGTGGTCAGTGGGAAGAATGCTTCTTACTTTGGTGATCGGTAGGCCCTGCTGGTGACCACAGTCACTGAGACAAAAAAGTAAGGGGAAATCCAAAATGTTACTGTTATCATTGCAACAGGAGAAGGGAAATCTTCCAATGAGAAAACCAACACCCGTGACAATGGAGATTTCCTCATATTCTGACACTTGGACAAAGAGTCGGGGAAATATTCCTAGCAGGATACAGACAGCAAAGTACAGGGTTCTAACCATTCCCTATGAAAAGGGCACCATTAACTACTCTATCCTGAATAATTCAAAATAAAGCTGGAGATACACAGTAAATGACCACTTTATGTAAAAAAACGGCACTTAAAAATGTTTGTTGTGGGTATTAAAATGATAAATGAGACTTTTGACTCTGATGTATCTCTAGATGCAAAATAGGCAAAAAAAATAAAATATCTAATAGTTTTTTTTAATTGTGGCATAACTGGACGGGAAGAGTCTTGAGCCCCGCGCTTCCCCCAGTTTGCTGGTTTGGCCTTTATTGCATGTAAGTGAAAGAAAATCTAAACTGACTGGGCAATATTTCAGCTCTTTCTAGGGTTTACACCCCCAGCTGCTCTGCGTTCCCATCCTCAGCCTGCCAAAATGTCTTCCTAAAAGTATCATCCCATTGATTCCTTCCAAAGTTGTATTACATTCTATTATTTGTTGCCGTTCTGTATACAGAGCTGTACAACGATCTCTATACAGAGCTGTACAAGGATTCCAGGTTATCAGGGAATTGTCTCTCCGGGGGATACAGAGCTAAGGGTTCAGCCCACCCCAAAATTGGTATTTTGTTTTTTTTTGGCAGCTGTTGGAGAGTTGGACTGATGATGGTTTATATATGTCTCCAACGTGGAAATCCGTGTTCCCAGCTCTGCACACCTGCTGGGGATCTAACAAGGGCCCCCCCGGTCTCCCTGTTGGTTTTATTCTGTATTACGGGGGATTCAGCTGAGTGAGTGTGAACACACTCGGACCTCCAAGGTGGGAGGCAGCAGAGCTGAGAATGAAGTCATGCAATAACTGCTGGCCTCCCTATGAGATAACAGAACTCAAACTACACCTGCAACTAAAACTGACCCTATACGGTTCAATTTTCCTTCTGCCTGGTTTCACATATATGCGGTGCGGTCCATCGCACGTGATTCGTACAGGAACCGCGCGGCATTCCTGTGCAAATCACATACGATTTGTGGGCGGTGCGATAGGAGCCGTACATTTTGTGTGGCTCTAATCGCAGCGCACCAAAAAGGCGCAGGACCCTTTTTTTGGTCCGCACTAGAATCAGATCGCATGGGTATTCACACCTTTGCAATCCGATTCTGCACATCACACCACGTTTTGCAGACCGATTTTGGGGTGTTGTTAACTTAAAGTGGAGCTCCGCTCACGCTGTCAAAAACTAAAAGTCAGCAGCTACAAAAACTGTAGCTGCTGACTTTTAAAAAACAGCCACTTACCTGTCCCTCGGTGTGTCCCCCGCAGCCCGTTTCACCGGCCGTCCTGTATTCCTGGAGGCCGACATCTTCAGTGTGGGCACCCGGCTGTGATAGCTTGCGTCTTCACAGCCGGGTACCCACTGCGCGTGCGCTAGTAGCGCTGCGCTTCCTGAATGGTCCTGTAGTCTTCTGGAACCTGTCACGTGTCCCAAAAGACTACAGGGAGGGAGGACACCTTTCCGCTAGACGATCGGACCGGAAGTGGGAGCGAGTACCTGTCAAATTCGGGTACCCGCTCCCCCTCCACCCCCCAAAGGTGCCAATCCTTAATGGGGAGCGGGGGGGGGAGCAGTCCTTAAAGCGAAACTTCCCCTTTTGCGTGGAGCTCCCCTTTAACATACACACACCCGCAGCGGTTCGCGTGAACAGGGTGCGATCCTGATGCAGTGCGGAATTCGTTGCGAATTTCAGACCGCATCAGTGTGAACCAGGGCTCAAACATTCGTACTGAAATTCTGAGACGTTGTTCATCAGAATATTCTTTCTTGCCATCGAGTCACTTTGTTCAAAAGCGAACATCACTAACCGCTAAGATATGAACATTCAAAACATTTTTTTTGAACAAAATTCAGCTCAAAATATCATTTTGGGGCCAGTCGACTCTTGATGGGGCCCTCATGCCTATTTGCTCTGCCCGGCTGCCCAGGCATTGAGGGTCAAGTCTGAAAGCAAACCCCTTTTTGGGCACAAGGATTGCCTAATATACCCAAGAATGTACGAGGGGCGTTCAAGTCAAGCCGGGACTTTTGATTTTACAGGTATAAAAAGGGATGCTAGCGTGGCGGTACTACACGTGGTAGTAAGTGGCAAGTGTGACCTATTACTGAAAGGTGGCGCATATGTCATTCTTCCTATTGACCACCAATGTAAGGGGCATTCTTCCCACTGACCACCAATGTAAGGGACATTCTTCCCACTGATCACCAATGTAAGGGACATTCTTCCTATTGACCACGTATGTAAAGAGCATTCTTCCTATTGACCACCAATGTAAGGAGCATTCTTCCCACTGACCACCAATGTAAGGAGCATTCTTCCTATTGACCACCAATGTAAGGAGCATTCTTCCTATTGACCACCAATGTAAGGAGCAGGGGCGGACTGACAATTCATGGGGCCCCGGGCAATAGGGGATCATGGGGCCCCTGTGTCCTTGCCAAACTCAAAAAAGTCTATGAAAAAGGTACCAGGGACATCTCATGGGGCCCCCTACAGACCCCAGGCCCTCGGACAGTGCCTGAATTTCTAAATGGTCAGTCCGCCCCTGGTAAGGAGCATTCTTCCCACTAATGTCTGGTGAACTACCAGAGAGGTTCAAGACAAATGGGGACTTTTAATTTTACAGGTATAAAAAGGAATGCTAGCGTGGCGGTACTACAGGTGGTAGTAAGTGGCAAGTGTGACCTATTCCTGATAGGTGGCGCACATGTCGCGGGCCAGTCCAGAGACCGTTAATCAAGATGGCAGACAACAGTGATAGTGCATGCTTGGAACAGCGTGTGGTGATGGCGTTTCTTTTGAACAAAGGCATAAAACCCTCGAACATCTACAGAAGGCTTCAAGCACAGTACGGCGATGAGACGCTCAGCCACAGTAAGACATTTGAATGGTGTCAACGTTTCACCATTCAGTGCATGGAACGCCTGATACTGGATAATCAACGCATAATTTTTTGTGAAATTGTATAAGAGACGAATCTTTCTGTGGGAACGGTGAACACAATGATGACGATATACACTAACATTGTCTGCCATCTTGATTACCGATCTCTGGACTGGCCCACAACATGTGCACCGCCTATCAGTAATAGGACCACCTATTACTGCGTGTAGTACCGCCACGCTAGCATCCCTTTTTATACCTGTAAAATTAAAAGTCCCCATTTGTCTTGAAGGTCTCTGGTATTTCATCAGGCATTAGTGGGAAGAATGCTCCTTACATTGGTGGTCAATAGGAAGAATGCTCCTTACATTGGTGGTCAGTGGGAAGAATGCTCTTTACATTAGGGGTCAGTAGGAAGAATGCTACTACATTGGTTGTCATTGGGAAGAATGCTCCTTACATTGGTGGTCAGTAGGAAGAATGCTACTACATTGGTGGTCATTGGGAAGAATGCCCCTTACATTGGTGGTCAGTAGGAAGAATGCTCCTTACATTGGTGGTCAGTGGGAAGAATGTCCCTTACATTGGTGGTCAGTGGGAAGAATGCTCCTTACATTGGTGGTCAGTGGGAAGAATGTCCCTTACATTGGTGGTCAGTAGGAAGAATGCTCCTTACATTGGTGGTCAGTGGGAAGAATGTTACTACATTGGTGGTCATTGGGAAGAATGCCCCTTTTACATTGGTGGTCAGTGGGAAGAATTCCCCTTTTACATTGGTGGTCAGTAGGAAGATTGCTACTTACATTGGTGGTCAGTGGGAAGAATGTCCCTTACATTGGGGGTCAGTGGGAAGAATGTCCCTTACATTGGTGGTCAGTGGGAAGAATGTCCCTTACATTGGCGGTCAGTGGGAAGAATGTCCCTTACATTGGAGGGTCAGTGGGAAGAATGCCCCTTACATTGGGGGTCATTGGGAAGAATGCCCCTTTTACATTGGTGGTCAGTAGGAAGAATGCCCCTTACATTGGTGGTCATTGGGAAGAATGCCCCTTTTACATTGGTGGTCAGTAGGAAGAATGCCCATTTACATCAGTGGCTAGCCCATTGTTGTCATGTCACTGGCTTTGGCGGGTGGAGTTGGCCCCAGAACTATTTATCGACCATCAGATGAAAGGTCAGTCAGCCTCAGCTCAGGGAACCCCCAACAACTTCTGGATGAACCCCTAGATCCCATGAATCCCGGACTGGAATGGCTGCAATAGACTATAGACTAACCTACAAAACTCTGTATATTGAGGTTTAGTGAACTACATGTACCAGCATTCTGAGGTCAGACTGAACACAGGATGCAGAACACGTGACGTGACTAAGCTCTGACACGTTACCCGTACTGGAAATGCAAGAGGACTACATTTGTTCTGCGCACTCGCTGTGATCTGTACATGTAACTATGAATTGCAGAAATCCAACCATCACGCCATAGTCATTGATTCATAACAGGAGAAAAAATGGAACGTTCTGAGTTTAGATAACATGTGTTTGTTTTTTGTTTTTTTTTCTACTTTTATTTATTAAACAACATAAATAATCCAAATAAAGTGCAACATTTTATATAAATACAAAACATAAAGCTGCAACAATTGGTGGTTGTCCTGACATAGAGCTGAGTCTTGTCAATGTGAAATGATATGGCTGAGCTCAAAACTCGCTGAGCCCCATCTCGTGGTGGCCATACACATCACAATGTCATCACACTATTCTCCACAGAATCGAACAATATAACTCGTTCTATGAACGAACAAAAAAGAAACATACTTTCAAAGCAAAACCGATTGGATTTTATTCAAAATCATTTCGATCTGTCTGGACCAGGGGTGGACTGACAACTCATGGGGCCCCCGAGTAACAGGAGATCATGGGCCCCTGTGTCCTCGCCCACACTCAAACCACACCCAAAGAAGCCTATGAACAAGCCTATGAAAGGTTCCAGGGGCATCTCATGGGGCCCCCTACTGACCCCGGGCCCTCGGGCACTGCCTGAGTGCCTGAATGGGTCAGTCCGCCCTAAGGTGGTGAATTCCCATTTTGCACATTTGCTATCTTTATACAGTTGGGATATCGGGTTAATGAACGGTAAAACACTATTCCACCCAAAACTAATATTAGTCTGGGCTGTGGGCACACTTCAAGGGCGCATTCACACCGTCATGGTGCGTTGAACGGTTAAAGCATGTCAAAGTGCTAAGGCCACCCAAAGAACATGAGTAGCCGGCCAACGCACCGGGAACACACCACATATGGCGCATGCATTGTTTCTGGGAGAGCACCGCAACCCACGTCCACCAGCAAGGAACATTGTGAATGGATGGCAGTGGATGTAACATACACTGTAAATGGGCCTTAAATGACGGGGTTTTTTAAAATGGAATTCCCAGTACAGTTGTGTTCAAAATAATAGCAGTGTGTTGAAAAAAGTGAATAAAGCTGAAAATCCTTCTAATAGCTTTTATTTCCATCCACACAAATGCATTGGGAACACGACACATTCTATTCCAAATCACAACATGAAGAAAAATACATCAAATTTGTGTTGTTCCTCTAAAAAAATGGAAGAAAAGTGAATATTAGACGGTTCAAAAAAATCGCAGTGTTTGTATTCTTCTTTACAAACTCAAACATTCACTATATAAACTGAGAAATGTTTGAAGATTTTGCTTTCCTTTGAATGACTTCATGAATATTTGGTTGTAGTCGCACTGTTTCTGAGAACTGCTGTACATCTGTGTTGCATGGAGTCACCCAACTTCTGGCCCCTGTGATCAGGTATTCCAGCCCAGATGATTGGACCACATTCCACAGTTCTTCTCTATTTCTTGGTTTTGCCTCAGAAACTGCATTTTTGATGTCACCCCACAAGTTTTCTATTGGATGAAGATCCGGGGATTGGGCTGGCCACTCCATAACGTCCATCTTGTTGGTCTGGAACCAAGATGTTGCACGTTTACTGGTGTGTTTGGGGTCGTTGTCTTGTTGGAACACCCATTTCAAGGGCATTTCCTCTTCAGCATAAGGCAGCATGACCTCTTCAAGTATTCTGATGTCTTCAAACTGATCCAGGATCCCTGGTATGCGATAAATAGGCCCAACACCGTAGTATGAGGAACATCCCCATATCATGATGCTTGCACCACCATGCTTCACTGTCTTCACAGTGTCCTGCGGCTTGAATTCAGTGTTTGGGGGTCGTCTGACAAACTGTCTCCGCCCACTAGACCCAAAAAGAACAATCTTACTTCCATCAGTCCACAAAATGTTGGGCCATTTCTCTTTAGGCCAGTCAATGTGCTCTTTGGCAGATTGTAACCTCTTCAGCACATGTCTTTTCTCCAACAGTGGGACTTTGCGGGGACTTCTTGCAGATAGCTTGGCTTCACATAGGCGTCTTCTAATTGTAACAGTCCTCACAGGGAACGTCACACCTTCTTTCATCTTCCTGGAGCTGATTGTTGGCTGAGTCCGCGCCATTTTGGCTATTCTTCTATCCATTCCAATGGTAGTTTTTCGCTTTCTTCCACGTCTTTCAGGTTTTGGTTGCCATTTTAAAGCATTTGCGATCATTTTAGCCGAGCAGCCGATCATTTTCTGCACTTCTTTATATGTTTTCCCCTCTCCAATCAACTTTTTAATCAAGGTACGCTGTTCTTCTGAACAATGTCTGGAACGACCCATTTTCCTCAGAATTTCAGAGAGAAATGCACTGTAACCAGCATGTCCAACATTTGCTGCCTTCTTTCCTTAAATAAGGGCAATCATTGCCACCTGTTTTTCAAAGAATGAATGACCTCACTAATAGAACTCCACACGGCTATTATTTTGAACACGCCCCTTTCAATGAGTGATTCAATGACACAGAATCAGCAGCATGCATGTCATGACTGTTGGGTCTGTTGGATTTCTATGACTCTACTACACCTGCTAGGAAATTATCTGCCATGTAGAAATATCATTTCTACCAAAAACAGGGATTGATCCGGTTAGTGATGTCTGACTGCTAGTATTTTCAACACAACTGTATATGAAGTGAAACAGAGCTGACCTAATGTGAGGACAACCTAGCCAGGAAGTGTAAGCTCTGTCGCCAAGATGACAGGAGATTGCACTGCAGGTTGGCCGTGGGACAGCAGACGCCTCCTGCAGGAACAAAGCTCTTTATTGTGGCTCTGTGTACACACTTCTATGGTGGCGGGTTTATTGGTGAACACCTGCTCAGCTATCTCCTGCCTGCAATGACACCTCACACTATGGGGTCACTGGAGGCCTGACAGCCAAGGACAGAGATAAGACACTTCAGGTGTTGACGGCTAATTATTGCCCTGTGACCTGGAGACTGTGGGGGTCCTGATGAGGTCCCGGCCATTTGCTGTCCTGACTTGTTTTCTGGATGTGCAGCTGATGTGAACAATCACCGACTGATGATGCTAAACCAGCAACTTTTCTTGGCAGAATGAACCTTGGATTCACATTTTTCCTGTTTTGAGTAAAATGGTCCTTAAGACGGCTCATTCAGTCCTCAGCGCCTTGGTGCGCAGAATTAATGCGTATTTTGTGTCGCATTTCCGCTGCCAAAAAGACAAGGGTGCAGGAAAAGTGTCTTTGTCTGTTTTTCACATTGACTTCAGCTGGATCCCTCCCCCCCCCCCCCCCAGACCAGTCTGAGGAGCAGCGGGATCTGCGATTTATGCATCAAACCCAGGATTTCAGTGCGTTTTCCAGTTTGCAGAAACGAGCTGCAGTCCATTGAACATGATTTCCTACTTCTAGTTCTCATCCGTTTTGAGCCGTTGCAGTTTTTGCAAAGGGTCAGGAACGCAGCAGATTGCATTTTGTGGTCCATAGACTTCAATGGACTGGCACCAAAATGCAAGTGTTGCAAGTTTGATGCATTTTTTATTCTTTTCCAATAGGAAAGTATTGACTTTGATGCGACGTTATACAATGTGGCACTCAAGCAGCATCACAGTTGCCCATCCAAAGTTGCTTCTAAGTCGCATCAAAGTCACACCCATTCCAAGTCGCATCAGAGTAGCACCCATCCAAAGTCACATCAAAAGTCGCACCCAGGGGCAGACTGACACCACATGGGGCCCCTGGGCAATAGGGGATCATGGGGCCCCTGTGTCCTTGCCCAAACTCAAAAAAGCCTAGGAAAAAAGTACCAGAGGCATCTCATGGGGCCCCCTACTGACCCCGGGCCCTCGGGCAGTGCCCGAGTTTCCAAATGGTCAGTCCGCCCCTGGTCGCATCCCTCCAAAGTCGCTTCCAAGTCACATCAAAGTCACATCCATCCAAAGTCACATGAAAGTTGCATCAAAGTCAGTATTTTCCTATTGCCAACCCCCCCTCCACAAAACGCATCAAAAACACATGTTTAAGAATGCAACACGCACTGTGAAGTCACACAATCCGCAATCTGCATAGATCTGAACCCAGCCCTAGTCTTCAGTCACACTGAATCCGACTTTGAAATTGGGCGGCTTCACTTGAAGTCGCATGATGTCAATGTCGGATGTCAGTGGGAGCTCAGGTGTGACTTGGAAGGTGACATGCACTGATGTCTATGCAAGTCGCACCTGAACTTGTAAAAAGTAGTTCATGAATTGTGACCGCTTCGATTGTGGACAATATGGTGCGACTTGTCATGCGAATTGAAACTATCAAATCACATGACAAGTTGAACCAGTGTGACTGAGGACATAGGGACTATATGGACCCAACGGACTAAATGGTTTTGATATGTTCTCTGCTTTTTCTGTCTTCTGTAAGGGAAGAATGCCCCTACATTGGGGGTCAGTGGGAAGAATGTCCCTTACATTGGGGGTCAGTGGGAAGAATGTCCCTTACATTGGGGGTCAGTGGGAAGAATGTCCCTTACATTGGGGGTCAGTGGGAAGAATGTCCCTTACATTGGGGGTCAGTGGGAAAAATGCCCCTACATTGGGGGTCAGTGGGAAGAATGTCCCTTACATTGGGGGTCAGTGGGAAGAATGTCCCTTACATTGGGGGTCAGTGGGAAGAATGTCCCTTACATTGGGGGATCAGTGGGAAGGATGTCCCTTACATTGGGGGTCAGTGGGAAGAATGTCCCTTACATTGGGGGTCAGTGGGAAGAATATCCCTTACATTGGGGGTCAGTGGGAAGAATGTCCCTTACATTGGGGATCAGTGGGAAGGATGTCCCTTACATTGGGGGTCAGTGGGAAGAATGTCCCTTACATTGGGGGTCAGTGGGAAGAATATCCCTTACATTGGGGGTCAGTGGGAAGAATGTCCCTTACATTGGGGGTCAGTGGGAAGGATGTCCCTTACATTTGGGGTCAGTGGGAAGAATGTCCCTTACATTGGGGGTCAGTGGGAAGAATGTCCCTTACAATGGGGGTCAGTGGGAAGAATGTCCCTTACATTGGTGGTCAGTGGAAAGAATGCTCCTTACATTGGGGGTCAGTGAGAAGAATGTCCCTTACATTGGGGGTCAGTGGGAAGAATGTCCCTTACATTGGGGGGTCAGTGGGAAGAATGTCCCTTACATTGGGGGTCAGTGGGAAGAATGTCCCTTACATTGGTGGTCAGTGGGAAGAATGCTCCTTACATTGGGGGCCAGTGGGAAGCATATCCCTTACATTGGGGGTCAGTGGGAAGAATGTCCCTTACATTGGTGATCAGTGGGAAGTCTGTCCCTTACATTGGTGATCAGTGGGAAGAATGTCCCTTACATTGGTGGTCAGTGGGAAGTATGTCCCTTACAATGGGGGTCAGTGGGAAGAATGCCCCTTACATTGGAGGTCAGTGGGAAGAATGTCCCTTACATTGGGGGTCAGTAGGAAGAATGCTCCATACATTGGGGGTCAGTAGGAAGAATGCTCCTTACATTGGGGGTCAGTGGGAAGAATGTCCCTTACATTTGGGGTCAGTGGGAAGAATGCAACTTACATTGGGGGTCAGTGGGAAGAATGTCCCTTACATTGGTGATCAGTGGGAAGAATGTCCCTTACATTGGTGGTCAATGGGAAGAATGTCCCTTACAATGGGGGTCAGTGGGAAGAATGTCCCTTACATTGGTGGTCAATGGGAAGAATGTCCCTTACAATGGGGGTCAGTGGGAAGAATGTCCCTTACATTGGGGGTCAGTGGGAAGAATGTCCCTTACATTGGGGGTCAGTGGGAAGAATGCTCCTTACATTGGGGGTCAGTGGGAAGAATGTCCCTTACAATGGGGGTCAGTGGGAAGAATGTCCCTTACATTGGGGGTCAGTGGGAAGAATGTCCCTTACATTGGTGATCAGTGGGAAGAATGTCCCTTACATTGGTGGTCAGTGGGAAGAATGCCCCTTACATTGGTGGTCAGTGGGAAGAATGTCCCTTACATTGGGGATCAGTGGGAAGAATGCCCCTTACATTGGTGATCAGTGGGAAGAATGTCCCTTACATTGGTGGTCAGTGGGAAGAATGCCCCTTACATTGGTGATCAGTGGGAAGAATGCTCCTTACATTGGTGGTCAGTGGGAAGAATGTCCCTTAAATTGGGGGTCAGTGGAAAGAATGTCCCTTACATTGGGGGTCAGTGGGAAGAATGTCCCTTACATTGGGGGGTCAGTGGGAAGAATGTCCCTTACATTGGGGGTCAGTGGGACGAATGTCCCTTACATTGGTGGTCAGTGGGAAGAATGCTCCTTACATTGGGGGCCAGTGGGAAGCATATCCCTTACATTGGGGGTCAGTGGGAAGAATGTCCCTTACATTGGTGATCAGTGGGAAGTCTGTCCCTTACATTGGTGGTCAGTGGGAAGTATGTCCCTTACAATGGGGGTCAGTGGGAAGAATGCCCCTTACATTGGAGGTCAGTAGGAAGAATGCTCCTTACATTGGGGGTCAGTAGGAAGAATGTCCCTTACATTTGGGGTCAGTGGGAAGAATGCAACTTACATTGGGGGTCAGTGGGAAGAATGTCCCTTACATTGGTGATCAGTGGGAAGAATGTCCCTTACATTGGTGGTCAGTGGGAAGAATGTCCCTTACAATGGGGGTCAGTGGGAAGAATGTCCCTTACATTGGGGGTCAGTGGGAAGAATGTCCCTTACATTGGTGGTCAATAGGAAGAATGTCCCTTACAATGGGGGTCAGTGGGAAGAATGTCCCTTACATTGGGGGTCAGTGGGAAGAATGTCCCTTACATTGGTGATCAGTGGGAAGAATGTCCCCTTACAATGGGGGTCAGTGGGAAGAATGTCCCTTACATTGGTGGTCAATGGGAAGAATGTCCCTTACAATGGGGGTCAGTGGGAAGAATGTCCCTTACATTGGGGGTCAGTAGGAAGAATGTCCCTTACATTGGGGGTCAGTGGGAAGAATGTCCCTTACAATGGAGGTCAGTGGGAAGAATGTCCCTTACATTGGTGGTCAGTGGAAAGAATGCTCCTTACATTGGGGGTCAGTGGGAAGAATGTCCCTTACATTGGGGGTCAGTGGGAAGAATGTCCCTTACATTGGTGGTCAGTGGGAAGAATGGCCCTTACATTGGGGGTCAGTGGGAAGAATGTCCCTTACATTGGGGGTCAGTGGGAAGGATGTCCCTTACATTGGGGGTCAGTGGGAAGAATGTCCCTTACATTGGGGGTCAGTGGGAAGAATGTCCCTTACATTGGGGGTCAGTGAGAAGAATGTCCCTTACATTGGGGGTCAGTGGGAAGAATGTCCCTTACATTGGGGGTCAGTGGGAAGGATGTCCCTTACATTGGGGGTCAGTGGGAAGAATGTCCCTTACAGTGGTGGTCAGTGGGAAGAATGTCCCTTACAATGGGGGTCAGTGGGAAGAATGCCCCTTACATTGGGGGTCAGTAGGAAGAATGTCCCTTACATTGGGGGTCAGTGGGAAGAATGCTCCTTACATTGGGGGTCAGTGGGAAGAATGTCCCTTACAATGGGGGTCAGTGGGAAGAATGTCCCTTACATTGGTGGTCAGTGGAAAGAATGCTCCTCACATTGGGGGTCAGTGGGAAGAATGTCCCTTACATTGGGGGTCAGCGGGAAGAATGTCCCTTACATTGGTGGTCAGCGGGAAGAATGTCCCTTACATTGGTGGTCAGTGGAAAGAATGCTCCTTACATTGGGGGTCAGTGAGAAGAATGTCCCTTACATTGGGGGTCAGTGGGAAGAATGTCCCTTACATTGGGGGTCAGTGGGAAGGATGTCCCTTACATTGGGGGTCAGTGGGAAGAATGTCCCTTACATTGGTGGTCAGTGAGAAGAATGTCCCTTACATTGGTGATCAGTGGGAAGAATGATCCTTACATTGGTGGTCAGTGGGAAGAATGCTCCCTACATTGGGGGTCAGTGGGAAGAATGTTCCCTACATTGGGGGTCAATGGGAAGAATTGGTTTTAGTGGGTAGAAAAGTGCCTCACTTTTGGAGCGAGTGGAAGAAATAATGCCCCATCGATGGTGTCAATGGAAAGAATGGTCCATTATCATTGGTGCATTATCATTGGTGTCAGTTGGAGGAGTAGTATGTCAAGGGCCGGATAAAGACAAGCAAAGGGCCACAACTGGCCCCAGGGCCACAGTTTGGAGACCACTGGTCTATAGCATTGAGCCTTTCCCTGTCCTGCATGTACCACCAACATTGACCTGTATACAAGACAGATACTTCAGGAGCCTGTACAGATCAGATGATGGTTCCATTGTTAAAGTCCGCCATGTCTTTTCCCACCCGGGAAGACTGGAGATGTATTCGGATCCCGCTCTGCGTTTGAGTTCCTGTTGCTTTATGAGAGGTTTGTGGATTTCATGCGTGCCAAACGAGTGAATTGCGACTCCTCTTGTAGCCAGTAAAGCATTTTTCGGGGAGGAAATAAAACGTTTTCATGAAGAGTTGAGTTTGCTTTCCCACGTCCTCTGTCCCCGCTCCTCTAATGAGTCACAGACGCCCCAACCCGCCTCTGAGCTCACAGCTGGTTGCTTTCCCACGTCTCCCCTGTGAGCACATCAGGAACAGCTCAGATGCGGCGTGCCGCCCCGTCCGCTGGCCTGTGGTGTACATGGGGTCACCCTGCCACCATTATTCCGGTCCCACGGGTGCCAACGGTCCACAAATTCCAGGAGCGACCCCGATCTGTCCCTGGAAACGTATTCCACACTTTGCTACTTTTCAGAGGTTTGCAAAATATTTTCTTTTGGTAAATTGTATCCAAGGTCAAAATTTTTTTTTTTGTTTTTAGCAGTTAAACCTTCTATCGGGATTTATTTCTGTCTGTGTCCCCCTGCTGGGGAGGTTCTCCCTCTCTATTGGTCACCAGGACTAAAAGTGATTAAAAATGCAAATGAGTTGTCACCGTAAAAGGAAGAGAGGAGAAATCTTTTTCAATAGGGGACACTTCTTCCAGTGACAACTGTCTAAGGCTCCATTTACACTTGTGCGACTTACATTTTCATGGCGGCTTCACAGTGCGACTTGATGCGACTTTGGATGAGTGCAATTTTGTTGTGACTTTGGCTTCGAGCCAGGATGATTGTGCTGTACAAAGTCGTGCACAAGTCATATGTATTGTCAGTGGAAGGAATAGTGCCCCATCATTGGTGTCAGTGGGAGGAATAGTGCCCCATCGTTGGTGTCAGTGGGAGGAATAGTGCCTCATCATTGGTATCAGTGGGAGGAATAGTGCCCCATCATTGGTGTCAGTGGAGGGAATAGTGCCCCATCGTTGGTGTCAGTGGGAGGAATAGTGTCCCATCATTGGTGTCAGTGGGAGGAATAGTGCCCCATCATTGGTGTCAGTGGGAGGAATAGTGCCCCATCACTGGTATCAGTGGGAGGAATAGTGCCCCATCATTGGTGTCAGTGGTAGGAATAGTGCCCCATCATTGGTGTCAGTGGGAGGAATAGTGCCCCATCATTGGTGTCAGTGGAAGGAATAGTGCCCCATCAGTGGTGTCAGTGGGAGGAATAGTGCTCCAGCATCGGTGTCAGTGGGAGGAATAGTGCCCCGCCATTGGTATCAGTGGAGGAATAGTGCCCCATCATTGGTATCAGTGGGAGGAATAGTGCCCTATCATTGGTGTCAGTGGGAGGAATAGTGCCCCATCATTGGTGTCAGTGGGAGGAATAGTGCCCCATCATTGGTATCAGTGGGAGGAATAGTGCCTCATCATAGGTGTCAGTGGGAGGAATAGTGCTCCATCATTGGTGTCAGTGGGAGGAATAGTGCCTCATCATAGGTGTCAGTGGGAGGAATAGTGCCCCATCGTTGGTGTCAGTGGAGGGAATAGTGCCCCATCCTTGGTGTCAGTGGGAGGAATAGTGCCCCATCATTGGTGTCAGTGGGAGGAATAGTGCCCCATCATTGGTATCAATGGGAGGAATAGTTCCCCATCATTGGTATCAGTGGGAGGAATAGTGCCCCATCATTGGTATCAGTGGGAGGAATAGTGCCCCATCATTGGTGTCAGTGGGAGGAATAGTGCCCCATCATTGGTGTCAGTGGGAGGAATAGTGTCCCATCATTGGTGTCAGTGGGAGGAATAGTGCCCCATCATTGGTATCAGTGGGAGGAATAGTGCCACATCATTGGTATCAGTGGAGGGAATAGTACATGTGACATTCTTCTCACTGACCACCAGTGTAATGGGCATTCTTCCCACTGATGTCTGTGACCCTCAAGTTGAATTAAAGTCGAAACAAAGTAGTGCAGGAACTGCTTTTAAATCGCCGCGACTTGAAATCCCAAAGATATGCATGGTACTCATTGGGAAACATGGGGTGTGACTTGTCAATGCGACTTTGGACCCCAAGGTCACATAGGTTTGAATGGGCTCTAAGGCGCGGTTCACACTACTGCGACCTGAAATGCCAACAGCCTGAAGCAGTGTGCATGGGTACGTAGGAGAATGCTATTTAGCTCCTAGGAGCAGAAAAAAAATGCTGATAATAGCTGCTAGAAGCTTTAAAAAGATGCATGGAGCCTCAAAACACACACGGTATGCCTGCCTTAGCGTGCGCCATGTTTGAATGAGCCCTAAAAGTCGCAGAAATATTATGCAAACAGTCAAACATGGTCATGCCGCCACCAGAAAATGCTGACTGTCTCCTATGGTGAATTCCTCCATTTTCTGCACCCTCTGCCATAAAGCTGCGACTACGACGCGCGGTTCGCTAACCCCTCGTGCGTACGGTCATAGGAGAGGTTTGTATGCACTGGTATGAGCGCGGCCCATTACTGACACCCTTCCCATCCAGATTAGCCCCAGCGCGTGATTTATAGTGGAACGTTGTGTTGCAGGAGTTGCATCTGGATTGGAGGAGGTTCTGTTCTCGCCGTTTTCCCCCTAGAGACGCCCGGAAGATTCGGGAACAATGCGACCGAGGCTTTTTCCTCTGACTCAGAAATGACACAGTGAAGTGTTTACACGATCCTGGTGTGAGAATTGGAAGCGTTGTGGTCACCCAGTGCATGCTGGGAGTTTGCGGTTCCGGGAATCCA